GCAGAGTGATGTTCTCAGACGAAAGCAGGTTCCAGCTGTTCAGGAATGATGGCAGGGCTCGTGTCTACAGACGCCGTGGAGAATGTGCAACGTTGCTGTGTACAGGAAGTGGAACCGTTTGGTGGCGGGGTGTCAAGGTTTTGGGTGGTATATGTAACGATATGAAGATAGATCTTGTGGTGGTGGATGGTACTCTCATTTCTCAACGATACATTGCTCAAATTCTGCGTCCGGTAGAGCTACCATTCCTACGTCAACGCCATAACCGGATCATGTTCCAGCAGGACAACGCCCGTCCTCATACAGCACGTATTGTCATGGATTTTCTACAGAGAAACAACGTCAATGTGCTTCCTTGGCCCTCCAGGTCACCTGACATGTCACCAACTGAACACTTGTGGGACCATTTGGATCGTCAGATTCGTGCTAGAGCCCTTGTTCCTGGAAACCGACGTCTGCTTGTCCAAGCCCTTCAAGAGGAATGGTGAAGGATCCCTGCCCAAGGTATACGGCGTCTAAAGTTCTCAGCACGCTGTAGAGTTAGGGCTTGCATTGATGCCCACGGTGGACATACCAGATACTTATAATTACCACGTATGTTGTTTTGTTTGCATCTGTGATCGAATACTCAATGGACTTGTTATTGTTGCTACTCCAATGAAATGACTGAGTGCATGTTGCCAATACACCTGTTATTTAAATTCACTGTCCTTTTTCACAATGGTGGTTTATTGTTTTGTAACATCAGTGATTTCGACTTGGTATCGTTTCTTTTGCTCGTTAGTTTACAATACATTGTATATGGCTAGGGGTGGGGTAGGGGTGGGAGCGTAGGGGTGGGGTGGTGAGGGAAAAGGAGTGATGATTAATTTAGGGGGGGGGGGGTTCACCCATTTTGTTCTGGGGAGGTAGGCGTCAATTTTGTACACATGCACCTTGGGTACATTGATTTTGTGCATGACATGCGGGGCGTAGGGAGTGGGGATGTCACTTACTTTGTACGTACATTTAAGTGGGGATGGGTGGGTCATTCACATTGTACATGCTTCTTCATAAAATCATTATCACAAGGTTGTTGCTTCCATATGCACTGCTAACCTTGAACACTTCAGTAGGAATATAACCGCACCCAAACTTTAGGTGCGTACTTTCTTTTGTACGCCAGTGTGTTGTTGTACTAATTAACCTTAGCGCTACGACTACCTTAAATTTATGTTAAGGTATGGGAGTTACGGTCACCTTAGTGCTAAGATCGCTTTGTACAACAGCACCCAGATTATTTTGTCGACGTCAATTTAGCACAATGGAGTATTCGAATCCCCTGGAGTTCTTTCCAAGAAGTGCAATTGCTGAACTAAGCTCTGTCGAATGTATCTGATATTTTTATTAGGTTGCCCCATTTTTTCCCTATTCCCATGTCCTACCCGTCCAAAATTTTAATTACGACGTGAAATTTTCAAATTTTGGTTATCCCTTTGCTTTTGCTCTCCCCGCCTCTGTAGAAATTTATGGTAGGGTGTGATGAAAGTGAAAATCGTTGTTTTTATTTCTTTTCGGTTCTGGGGCGGTGGGGTAGCCTAATGGTCAAAGCGTTCGCTCGTCACGCCGAAGACCCGGGTTCGATTCCCCACATGGGTACAATGTGTGAAGCCCATTTCTGGTGTCCCCAGCAGTGATATTGCTGGAATATTGCTAAAGCGGCGTAAAACCATACTCACTCACTCATTCTCACACCTTTCGGTTCTGTTTTTTTCGCCTGTCCGGTCTCTTGCTGGTCGATGTTGGAGATAAGAAACACAAACAAATATACGGACAGTCAAATAATGCTGTAAATTTAAATAGAAGAGTGTTTTATCAGTGTTCCAAGGGTATGCACCGGCCAGGTTGCACAATCGTTAAGATTCCGGGTTAAATCGTCTTCAGCAACCTTGTCTTAAGAACCGACTAAGGGGATCGGGTGGTCAGGCTTGCTGACTTGGTATATGCATGTCTTCGTATCCCAATTGCACAAACCGAAGTCTCATTAACCTATTCAGACAATGACCCACTTTTCAGCCGATCCGAATTTTCTCGTGTGAAAGTGAACATAGACATCTCAAACAACTATGGTTACACTGAATTCCAATTCCTTGTTTCATAAGAAAATGGTATTTACAAATGAATTTTAATTTTAAACTTTAATAACATCGTATTTCTATTTTTTTATGGCGAGGTGTAGGCAGCATGACCTTAACTAAGACGTCACAGACTGCCCCAGTTTGATGAGGTCGTAAAATGATTCACAATCCATCTGGCTCACTGGTTACACCTGTTATGTGTTTTTTTTGTTGCGCTTATTCAGTGTAGTTCTGTAACGCACAATGTGATTGATATAATATCAAGTCCGTACCAGACCGCCAAACTTTTCTAGCAGCAGAGCCTCGTTTTGAGATTTCCACAATTTCCAGGTTTCTGTTTGTCAGTGCTCGCTGTACGACAGAGCACGCTGCACGACATGTTTGCAAGGATTAGAAGGAGCGTAGTGTTGCAATATACAAGTGCTTAGATGTATCAAATAATATTGATTAATATTTATGCATCCAGTTGAATGAATTGGTCTCAAAATTCTGGTCTGGTTATTGTACTAAATTGCGCAATAGGACGGAACCCAGTCAACAGGAAATGAGACTGTTGTGTAATCAGTGTTTTGACTTGAGATCGATGCTCAATCACAGGATTGTTTGGCCCAGACTCGATCATTTATAGACCGCCGTCATATAGCCATATAGCTTTAACATTGCTGAATGCGGCGTTACACAACAAAACAAATAAATCATACAAACTATGATCGAATGTGTCTTTGTTCAATTGACAGCGGCTCTGGCAAATCGACTCTGATGAATGTCCTGACGTGCAGGAACACAGCACAGTACGTCACACAGGGCACAGTGAAGGTCAACGGCGTGGACGTTGGCCACGGCATTAAAAACATATCCGCCTACGTGCAGCAGGATGAGCTCTTCATCGGCACCCTCACAGTCAGAGAGCATCTTACATTCAGGGTTGGTTTGATGTTGACGTCTTATGGCATAAACAGAACACATGAATCCCTATTGCCGCTAATAGCTGCAAAATTGCTGATTGGACTAAAAGCAACATTTACTCACTCATGAATCTATCGGTTTTTGGAATTAGTTTAAGTTCAATGACTGACTGAATATTGCTTCATGTCGCCAGGCGGGTAGTTCGCCAATTTTTCGTGTAAGCCCGATAGGTTGCAAAGCTTTATATTTAGATAGTACTGAGGGCTTGTCCAACCGTTTTAGCAACAATCATATCTAAGCCCTGGCTTTTTCATATAATGGTAGCTACGCCCCTGGTCGCATCAGCATTTTTGCAGCTGTCCGCGACGCTCAAATTCAGTAATAATGAGCTTGTTATATACATGATAATAAGTGGAGTCGTTAGTGAAAATTGTGAATCCAAAACGTATTTTGTATGCATGTGACCTCATGTATTTCATATCGTTGTACCGACAAAAGTGGTGGTGTTCACTGCAGAGTAAAACTATGAACGTATTTATGCACTCAATTTCTGAATGCCAATCAGAGACTTCATGTGACGGTGAGATCCACTATATATTTCAGAGTAAAAAGCGGTAATAACCTTTTTGTTGGAAATAAACTGTACTCACATGTTGTAGAGAAGTGTTTCATTACTATTTCTTAATACCATCGTTACGGAATGTTTCATTAACTTTTGGACGGTCCCCAAAAATCGAGTTAATTAGAAAAAAGTCCAATTTCTCAGTTTAAAAAACACAAAGTTTGATATTTTGATTTTTAAAATATAATTACATATGTATTTCTTAGAATGATCAATAGTTAAATAAATAATAATAAATAGAAACTTTACCAAGTTACTCAAGAATGGGTCCTGTCAATAAAATATATGTGTCCATATTTTATGTATTATCTGAAATAAAACCAATTGTTTAGATTGTGACTTACAACACTTACGTTTCAAAATATTGACGTTGATGTATTAAAAAATAATCCCATAGCCTTAGGCGAGTACTTACTTTTGTATGTCTGTTAGTCTGAAATTGGTAAATATCATTTTCTCCTTCCCTTGAAATGGCAGATTTTACAAAAACAAAAACAAAACAAACAAAAAAACAACAAAAAACAACAACCCCAAACAACCAACAACAAAGCTGTAAATACGTAATACGTGACTAAATACACAATAAAAGTCACGATCAGCTCTATTCCTATAACATCGTGTTATATATACTGAGTCAAAAGAAACTTCACATTCTTTCTTCAGGGCACTATAAAAGAACCTTTAATAACATCGTATTTCTATTTTTTATGGCGAGGTGTAGGCAGCATGACCTTAACAAAGACGTCACAGACTGCCCCAGTTTGATGAGGTCGTAAAATGATTCACAATCCATCTGGCTCACTGGTTACACCTGTTATGTGTTTTTTGCGCTTATTCAGTGTAGTTCTGTAACGCACAATGTGATTGATATAATATCAAGTCCGTACCAGACCGCCAAACCTTTCTAGCAACAGAGCCTCGTTTTGAGATTTCCACGATTTCCAGGTTTCTGTTTGTCAGTGCTCGCTGTACGACAGAGCATATTGCACGACATGTTTGCAAGGATTAGAAGGAGCGTAGTGTTGCAATATACAAGTGCTTAGATGTATCAAATAATATTGATTAATATTTATGTATCCAGTTAAATGAATTGGTCTCAAAATTCTGGACTGGTTATTGTACTAAATTGCGCAATAGAACGGAACCCAGTCAACAGGAAACGAGACTGTTGTGTAATCAATGTTTTGACTTGAGATCGATGCTCAACCTAGGATTGTTTGGCCCAGACTCGATCATTTACAGACCGCCGTCATATAGCTATATAGCTTTAACATTGCTGAATGCGGCGTTAAACAAGAAAGCAAATAAATCATACAAACTATGATCGAATGTGTCTTTGTTCAATTCACAGCGGCTCTGGCAAATCGACTCTGATGAATGTCCTGACGTGCAGGAACACAGCACAGTACGTCACACAGGGCACAGTGAAGGTCAACGGCGTGGACGTTGGCCACGGCATCAAGAACATCTCCGCCTACGTGCAGCAGGATGAGCTCTTCATCGGCACACTCACAGTCAGAGAGCATCTTACATTCAGGGTTGGTTTGATGTTGACGTCTTATGGCATAAACAAAACACATGAATCCCTATTGCCGCTAATAGCTGCAAAATTGCTGATTGGAATAAAAGCAACATTTACTCACTCATGAATCACTTTGTTTTCGGAATTAGTTCAAGTTCAATGACTGACTGAATATACCTTCATGTCGCCAGGCGGGTAGTACGCCAAGTTTTTCGTGTAAGCCCGATAGGTTGCAAAGCTTTATATTTAGATAGTACCGAGGGCTTGTCCAACCGTTTTAGCAACAATCATACGCAAGCCCGGGTTTTTGTTATAACGGTAGCTACGCCCCTGGTTGCATCAGAAATTTTGCAGCTGTCCGCGGCGCTCAAATTCAGTAATAATGAGCTTGTTATATACATGATAATATGTGGAGTCGTTAGTGAAAATTGTGAATCCAAAACGTATTTTGTATGCATGTGACCTCATGTATTTCATATCGTTGTACCGACAAAAGTGGTGGTGTTCACTGCAGAGTAAAACTATGAACGTATTTATGCACTCAATTTCTGAATGCCAATCAGAGACCTTATGTGACGGTGAGATCCACTATATATTTCAGAGTAAAAAGCGGTAATAACCTTTTTGTTGGAAATAAACTGTACTCACATGTTGTAGAGAAGTGTTTCATTACTATTTCTTAATACCATCGTTACGGAATGTTTCATTAACTTTTGGACGGTCCCCAAAAATCGAGTTAATTAGAAAAAAGTCCAATTTCTCAGTTTAAAAACACAAAGTTTGATATTTTGATTTTAAAATATAATTACATATGTATTTCTTAGAATGATCAATAGTTAAATAAATAATAATAAATAGAAACTTTACCAAGTTACTCAAGAATGGGTCCTGTCAATAAAATATATGTGTCCATATTTTATGTATTATCTGAAATAAAACCAATTGTTTAGATTGTGACTTACAACACTTACGTTTCAAAATATTGACGTTGATGTATTAAAAAATAATCCCATAGCCTTAGGCGTGTACTTACTTTTGTATGTCTGTTTAGTCTGAAATTGGTAAATATCATTTCTCCTTCCCTTGAAATGGCAGATTTTACAAAAACCAAAACAAAACAAACATAAACAACAAAAACAACAAAAACAACCAAACAACAAAGCTGTAAATACGTAATACGTGACTAAATACACAATAAAAGTCACGATCAGCTCTATTCCTATAACATCGTGTTATATATACTGAGTCAAAAAAGAAACTTCACATTCTTTCTTCAGGGCACTATAAAAGAACAAGAGATGGTAAGATGGTTAAATTGTTATTATTTCATTGCTGAGATCTGTGTGATGTACTCGATACACTGACAGTGCCATAATCAGTTCCATTAGGCTACACCGCCGTTCCAAAACATGGGTATACAGAACGTCAAGTCACAAGAATAAAAGTGCGAAATTTCTCAGTTCAATATCGTGTATGGCCGCCCCGCGCATTCACCACTGCCAAACACCGTCTCCTCATCGACTGCCTGATGCTAGTGAACACGTGGTTGGGGATTCTGCGCCATTGCTCTTGCAAGGCAGCGCCAAGTTCCTGCAAATTCTGAGGTTGGTTCCTAAGACCACGAAGCCTTCTCCCAAGTGCATCCCAAACGTGCTCTATTGGATTAAGGTCAGGGGACCTCGATGGCCAGTCCATGACGTTGATTCCAGCGTTTTGAAGGAAATTTCGTGTCAACATTGCGGTATGCGGCCGAGCATTATCATGCTGGAACTGTAGACCTGGGCCATGAGCCGCCATGAAAGGAACGAGTTCAGGGGTGAGCACCTGGGTGCGGTAAGCAGCTGTGAGGTTTCCACGGATGACCAGAAGTCGGGAACGGTTGTTCCCACAGAAAGCACCCCACACCATGCAACTTCCACCCCCGAATCTGTTGACTTCCTGTACACAACATTTGGGCATACCGTTCACGACGTCGTCTCCAGACTCTATGCCTGCCGTCCGCGAATCTGAGGTTAAACCTGGATTCATCGCTAAAGACGACTCGGTTCCAGTCTCTCTGGGTCCATTGGAGGTGACGTTCGGCCCACAGCAGACGTTGACGTTAATGAAACGGCGTCAATATTGGCCCACGATATGGACGTCGAGAATGGAGATTGGCAGCCCGCAACCGATTTCGAATGGTCTGTGAGGACAGTCAACCTCTAAACATCTCAGCCCTGGTTTGTGTAGACGGCAGAAATCTGTCACGTAGGTGACGTAGGACGATTTGACGGTTTTCTGCTCGTGACGTCACACGTGGACGACCCGACCTTGGGCGATCAGAAGTGGTGCCAGTTTGTTGTAGACGACCTCGCAAGTCATACACAGTACGACGGCTGCATCCCATTGCTCTTGCGACGTCAATAACTGATCTTCCCGCTTGCAACATGCCAACGGCACGTTCACGTTGCACATTTGACAATCGTAGCATTTCAAGTACCGTTAGAACTGTGGTTTAAAAGTGTTTTTTCAATTCTTGAGGCCAATGCAAACACGTGCATATGATGAAAACTTCGATGCGAAGATCACGTGATCGTCTGCACGTGCAAAACCTGATTTGGCACTAACGTCATTTGCACGACGAATGGATGGGTTTGAGTGGGTTTTGCTGACGTTTTTCTAGAGTCGAAAGATAGGGATCCCATTTCGGAAACATAGATGTATCATCAGAGAAAAATTATTCATTATTTTTCAAATTACATTTTGTGAAGTTTCTTTTTTGACTCAGTATATATATATCACCCTGCCTCTGTATGAGACCATGCCTTATTGTATGATTCCCCCATAGGCCATGCTGAGAATGGACCAAACACTATCAAAGTCCGATCGTCTCCTAAGAGTCGAAGAGGTCATCTTAGAGGTATGTAGTCCTCGGGTCTTGTTGAATTCAGTATAGAAATGATCTTCAACGTAGATTCAGCGTTCAACCAGACACTGGTAAGACCACAGTTTCTGTAGCTAAGCTGTGGCTCCAGTCCTCTAACGCATCTCAGTTGGCATTGACCTGAGTGACGTCCTTTAATTGGATCAGGATCCTGTGAAGGTGGATTCAGATGGTCAGCAACAACGGTCAGCAACTGTCCAGTAGTCATTAAAGGAGTCACTCAGTTTAGTTTGACTTAAAATACAAGTTAACCAATTATTTTTTGTGTTGGTAACCACGAAAGATAAACCTCTTTTGTAGGGTTTAGGAGAACACTGATCAAAATAATGTCTGGAACGTTTGCAACGATGACCTTGTAGAAACAAAAACAGGATAAACAGATCTGATTCCTGAAAGTCGCACCGGATGCTTTAATGCAAATCATGATTGTACATTCTAAGTAGTGGGACGTTGGAGAGTCTTTCTTAAGCCAGTCATGCCAAAACCCCGGTTCGAGTCCCAACATACGAAGCTCATTTCGAGTGTCCCTTGTCCTGAGTTGGACTATTCCCTTGTCCTGATGTTGTTGGACTGAGTTGCTGAAGTGGGGTATAATTATACACTCGAGTGAGTGAGTGAGTGAGTGAGTGAGTGAGTGAGTGAGTGAGTATGGATTTACGCCGCTTTAGCAATATTCCAGCAATATCACGGCGGGGGACACCAGAAATGGGCTTCACACATTGTACCCATGTGGTGAATCGAACCCGGGTCTTCGGCGTGACGAGCGAACGCTTTAACCACTAGGCTAACCCACCGCCCCTCCAGTGAGTGAAGCTAGTGAGTTGATTGCAGATATAATGAACATTTGATTCAGATATAAGACCCTGTCATTGAGCGTGATACTCCGCGTTTTGTTTCAAGTTTCAAGTTTCAAGTTTCAAGTTTATTTCGTAACAAGGCCTTAGGCCCACGTACAATACAAATAAACATGTGTAATTATAAGATAGTGGCATTTGACAATCAGATTCATATGTATAAAGAACGCAATGACAATGCTTCGTTAATGTAAGAAGAACAATATGTTAGTGTTGAAAACTTGGTACAGGATAATGTGTTCAGAAAGTATTGTCGATCTATGTAATTTGGTAATGCTTTAAAATATTTACAGCGCAAATCATGATAAACTTTACATTCAAATAGAAAATGAAATTCATTTTTTTACTCCGCGTTTGTTTCTGACAGATGGGACTCAGCAAGTGTGCTGAGACACAGATCGGGACCCCAGGACGGACCAAGGGCATCTCTGGTGGCGAGATGAAGAGGCTGTCCTTCGCTTCTGAGGTGAGAATTGTAGTCAGTGAATTGATCTGTAGTCCGAATACTCGTGACACAAATTAAGAAGCCTGCTGACACAAAAGGACATGACACATATGGTTCAGATCTATCTGTGAAACAGTTGGTTCCGATATCTTTCGACACTGTATCTTCTGATCTGTGATGACACCGTCGGTCCCGATATCTGATGACACAAGAGGTTCAGACATCATATGACTCGGGTTCAGATATCATACGAGAAAGGATGTTCAGATTGTGAATTCCAGGAGTGGATACATTAGCAATACTGAGCCAACAGAAGAAACTGAATCCACTTGATATTAGGGCTGCGCAATATAACCGGTTTATCGGTATTTACCGGTTCAGACATGAAAACGATACGTATTGCGATACGCTGATCGAAAACCGGTATCTTCACATGCATTCGGAAAACTTCGTAACACTCGGAAATCTTCGGATATTGTCTTGTTTCATTCATGCCAAATATTATTTACATATTTATTTTGTCAGGATTAAAAGTTTTTATTAGAGCTTAATCAAACATGATGATTTTGTTTTGTTTTTGCTTTATAAATCAAGCATTAACTCGATTATAAGTAGTTTTTGTTGTTGAAAAAACTTCTTGCAATATATTGCAATACATATCGCAATATATGCTTTCGCATCGCAATATATCGCAATATGAAAATTCTCTGCAATACCCACCCCTACTTGATATTGAGGTTTGTTTCCGCAGGTTCTGACCAACCCACCACTGATGTTCTGTGACGAGCCGACGTCAAGCCTGGATTCGTTCATGGCCCAGAACATTGTGCAGACCCTCCAGAACATGGCGTCCAAAGGCAGAACAATCTTGTGTACCATTCACCAGCCGTCGTCAGAGCTCTTCGCCATGTTCGACCAGTAAGTTCGAGACATCAAACAAACATACAGTTGATTAGAGCGTATATACTCGGCGTCATAATGGGACACCTATATTGGTATAGCGTCAGTCATGGACATATACCAACAAGTGCCAATAAGTGTAAACTATATGATTCACAGAACATGTTGTTTACGCCACTGATCTTTCATGAATCTGGAAAGACTAACGACAATTTATAAAACAAATATGTATGATTAAATGCTTTGGCTAGTTTATTTTTGATTGAAATGTAGTGTAGCGTTTTCGAGATACCTTGCCGATCTCTGAACTCACCTCAGTGTACACACCACCACGACAGCTGAGATCACACCAACAGTTCCTCCTAACAACACCCCCTGTCCATCTCAAGAACTATAGTCACAGATCATTCAGCTATGCTGCTCCTTCACTGTGGAACAGTCTTCCCATAACCATCAAAACAGCAAAATCTCTTGACTTATTCAAATCTTCATTGAAGACCCATCTTTTCAGGAAATATTACGAATGGCTTGTACAATTGCTGCAGTTTTTTAGGCTGTACACACGGGGCGCCATGAGCATACACTAGTGTGTGGAAACGGCGCCATACAAATGGACATTATTATGATTATTATTATTATTATTTGGTATGCGACGCTAGCATTGGTCGGATGAAAGGTGTTTTGTTAAGAAGATACGGGTTCGATTCCTCGCATGTACAATGTGTGAAGCTCGTAAGTAGCCTTCAGGTCGTGATATTATTGGAATATTGCTCACTCACACACAGGACGTTGGCGTGAGCATTGACTACAAAATACGCAGTTATTGATAGATTTGTATCAATGAAACACTTTTTCGTTGAAGGTTATTACTGCTCTCTGAAGGACGGGTGGCATTTATGGGTTCATCGTCGGATGCATTGAAGTTCTTTAAAAGGTAAAACCAAACCATTCCAAAACTGGAATAATTTCATCACAGTTCTGCTGACAAGCATCGCCTTTGCACTGGTATTTTTGGCAATATGTCATGAAAATACCTTTGCAATTTACTAAAAGCATCCCCACCAAAACTGTAACAAACTCATGTTTTTCTCTCACTTATATATTGGAAAATGGCAATTTGTCTAAAAAAACTTTCAAAAACGATATAATAAAAATAGATGTGGTAGGCATGTATTATTCTCCTGAAATGTTGCTCCGCCTGAAGACCAAAAACACTTTGTGAGTGTTCAATAGAATCCTGATTGTTTAAGGTAATGCTCTGTTTACTTTTCTCTCATTAGCCAGTGTTACTCCTGTCCCCGGAACTTCAACCCGGCAGACTTCTATATCCACGTGTTGGCCGTGCAAATTGGCGAGGAGGAGCAATGTCGTGAAAAAGTGGAGGTAACTCTACATCACTGTACATATTGATGTAGTCAATGTGGAGTGACTGGGTGAGTGATTGAGTTTAGTTTTACGCCGCTTTTAGCCATATTCCTGCAATATCACGGCGGGGACACCAGAAATGGGCTTCACACATTGTACCCATGTCAGGAATTGAACCTGGGTCTTCGGCGTGAGGAGCGAACGCTTTAACCACGAGACTACCCCACCGCCCAGTAAATTTGGAAAAGAGACAACGCACTGCATGCTATATTTTATAGATAACAAATTAGGATATCGAATACACCCACGACTTAAAATATTTTATTTTTAGAGATCACTCGCAAGATTCAAATATCAAACTTGTGTCGGCTTACAAGCTGATGATTTTACGGACGCTTCATGCCATTAAATGCTGTTTCAGGCCAGTCTAAGTAAATTTAGGCTGCAGTGTAAGGAATAATACAGAGCCTAAGTTTACTTAGACTGAGTTTCGGACATCATACAATGCAAGTTGTTTCATGTGCGAAATCGAATTGACACAAACACCAACTCACTCATACTACCTGAATGGATAGATAGATGTTTTTAGTTAATGACTGTTTTTTCATTATTTTGCCGGACATACTTTACACACAGTACAAGGGTGGAAAGATTGAAGTCACGGACAGAACCCAAACGAACAGAATTGACGCTGGCAAATCACGAATCATAAGCTAAGCTATAACCCACAATCACTGGATCCTTCCACCAACAAGGGACGCTACTCGGTACAGCAGACTGCTGCGGCTTCACAGTTAATTTAGTTATTTTTATGCATAATGGTGAAATAGCATATGATCATAGCATCTTATTCGTTTGTTTCCAGAAGCTGTGCAATGCATTCCGTGAAAGTGACACATGTCATCACATGAAAGACAGTATTAACGACATATGTAAAGATACACCAGAGAACAGGGCGCTGTCAATCATCGTGAGTAGAGAACTTGGTACATATTTATCTGATTGAGTGAGTGAGTGAGTGAGTGCAAGTGAGTGTGTGAGTGAGTTGGGATTTAATATTCCAGCATTATCATGGCGGGTAAAACCAGAAATTGGCTTCGCACATTGTACCCATATGGGGAATCGAACCCGGGCCTTCCTGTTTATATATGTTTACACTTGGGGAGACCTGTACAGATCGGACATACCGTATTTCCTCTATTAAGAGGGTATAGACCTTTGCATTTTTTCGCAAATGTAATCTCCCTTGGTCTAAAAATAAATATATTAAGGAATGGTCCCTTAGATCATAACTTCATGTACTCATCCCCGCTTTTAAAAATACAGGGTATTTAATAAGCGCCGGGCCTCTAATAAGCGCCGGGTCTGGAGGTCCTTTGACAAAATAAGCGCCGGTGGCGCTTATTAGAGGAAATACGGTATATACGACTTCTCCATGGTAACTAATTTTGGTTCAGATGCACAACACTACCCCTATTCCACTGTTAATTCGTGGATCGGGTTTGTCTGGTCTTCGGGAGGTCATGGTGGCAGGGAAGAGGGTAGGTTGCATTACTTCAACAATGGCTTTATCTTCCCGGGCCCGTTTCACACAGCATACATGTACTTGAGTCATGCCTGAATCAAGATCTTGGCGTAGGGTAGATGTCTGGTATGGTAAGATGGGAAATCGCTGAGACCAGGGAATCACCAGATGGGATGGAAGACCAGAGGGAAGCTATAAGAGAACATAAGGAATATAAGATAGGAGGGAAGGTGAGGCGAGAACGAAGGTATCCTTAGAATGTAATGAGTGAGTGAGTTTAGTTATTCCAGCTATAAGGCTGCGGTCTGTAAATAATCGAGTCTGGACCAGACAATCCAGTGATCAACATCATGAGCATCTTGTAATAAAACGCAAATTGTAATACTTGCAGCAAATTGTAATAAACTTGACGTAAATTGTAATAAAAACGTAAATTGTAATAAAAATTGACGTAAATTGTAATACGCAAATTGTAATAAAAATTGACGTAAATTGTAATAATTTTCGTTGCGGTAAAATGTAATAAATATTTACGTAAATTGTAATAACAGTTTTAATCACTCGTAAATACGCGGGTGTTTGTTTTTCGTTGCATTTCATACATCAAATAAGCTTGTTAGGGCGATAACTCAAGAAAGAATTGATGGATTTTGTTCAAACTTGGTACCAAGGTATATTGGCGAGATTCACCGACACAAGTGAAATGGAGTGACCTTGAGATAATTTTCAAGGTCACAGCAAAAATCTGAGGGTTTTGCCAATATAAAAATTGTTAGCGCGATAACCCAAGAAAGAATTGACAAATGTTAGCCAAATGACGAAAATGATATTCGTCCTGATATATAATCGATATAAAATCTCTGACTGTCCTCTGTATCATGTCTTTTCGCAAATATCTTTTGAGGTTTTGATATGTATAAATATAAAGTGGGGTGGGGTGGGGGGTGGGTTTCTAACGGGTATATCAAATCAAATCAAATCAAATTAGACATTTGTATAGCGCTACATATCCAGAGTCCTGCTCATGTGTGCTTAGTCGAATGCTCGTTTGAAGAGGATGGTTTTGCGACAAGATCGGAAACTGTTGATATTTTCCGATTTTCTGACATTTTCAGGTAATCAATTCCAGAGTACAGCACCCGGTCTGCTAAATGATCTGTCTCCGTATGTTGTGGTTCGGACAAATGGAATAGCCTAGCTGACTAGCAATGAAATGCATCACAAATTAAACTTCAGGAAACAAAATATGCAAGAAACATTTTGTATGTTTGAGATTGGTAGAGGTCGGCTAGAATCAAACTTAGATATTAAACTGCACAAAAAGGCAATTTGAAACTACAATCGCTTGTTCAAATGACTCCCCATTCGGTTTACTGAAAGAACTCGAGAAAGAAATGATGGATTTTGTTCAAATTTGGTACCAAGGTTTATTGACGTGATTTACCGACACCACTTGAATTTAGTGACCTTGAGGTCATTTTAAAAGTCACAGCGAAGGTGTAACAGTTTTGCACATGCCAAGCTTGGTAGCCGCGAACTTAGGAAAGAATTAATAGATTTTGATCCAATTTTATAACAAGGTGTATTGGCGGGAATCCCCCTACACCAATTGAAACAAAATATGCAAAAAACATGTATATTGGTAAAAGTCAAACTTAGATATTAAACTGCACAAAAAAGAAATTTTAAGCTATAATCGCTTGTTCAAGTGACTCCCCCTTCATGTTTACTGAAAGGGCTTGTTTTGGAGACACTACCCACCCCCTTTCAGTTGACGTCATCATAAGGATATAACTCATCCTAAAGTTTTCACTTATTCAAACATTGTGTCAAGGGTTCAAACTAAATACTGAATGGTCACACAAGTGTAAGCTCTCAATATGTTGTATATCTGGACACAATGTTTTTGAAAATTTAAAATGAGGGTGTCCTAAAAAAAACAGTCCCCGTCTAAATGTAAATCAAGCAATCCAAATCTTTGAATGTTGATGATGACGGGAAGTCATCCAATACTATGCTGAACATATTTTATATGATACTATCTGAGGGTATACCATTATCCAAGAGATAGCGCAATAGTGCAGTTGTAAGGCGTCTGCCTATCACGCTGAAGGCCCTGTTTCGAGGAGGCACCGAGGTTCGGTTCCCGAGATGGGCACCTTTGCGTAGTATCCTTGGACAAGATACTTAGATCTACACTGTCTCAGTTCACCCAGCTGTAAAATGGGTACCCGTGAGTATGTGCTGGCAATGTGAGTGTTTAGTTCATTGCGCCTAACAGGCAGCATGGCTGTACAGTCCCAGGGAGTTGAAAAAGTATCGGAAACTACGATAGTGTCCTATGATCGGGGATAGTAATGTACGTAGCGCCGTGAGCAGGCAATGTGCCTGGATGTGAGCGCCATATAAGCGGACTATTACTATTACTAGATACCAAATGGGAGATCGTTTTCCATTTTCTGCAAATTTGCAAGAAACATAATACCCCAATGATGTGATGACTAATATCTCGTTAACCACATTACCCACATGAAATTTTTGATATGACTTTGCTAATGATTCCTTCAAAATAAAATGGAAGCTTCTATTCAAACATTGGACATCGAGATTATAGTTAGTTTGACTACTTTTTCAACGCCCCTCGTAACATACTTAAAAGAAATGAGAACGTCTAAGGAAAAAAGCATTTCGATCTCTGAATACTTCTGAGCTATTTAAATACAAAAAGCAAAGGAATAAAGTAAATAATCTGAAAAGAATAGCCAAGGGAAACTTTTATTCTAATTTTGATAACTATTTATCACCTCAGTCTACTCAATCAGGTGGATAGTACTTCATAGGGACCCATTCCCCTTCTTGTCACTGATGATTCTGGGATACCTTCAGTTTTTACAGATTTGGATAAAGCTCAAACATTAAATGAATATTTTGTATCTGTTTCAAATGTTACTGATGGCGGGAAGACTTTGCCACCTGTTAGCCATCGCTGTGTTAACAGTATAACAAATGTCATTAACACGTCACAATTTAATTCTGGACTCATAAAAGTCCAGAAACTCTCCGCACTGTGGGTACTTTCTGACAAGTGATTTGACCAAATTAAACATGCAGTTGTTTTGAATATATGCCAAGGATGAAAAATGAAAAAAAATTTGCGAAAACTTTAGATATAAACTCGCTCGTCCATGGGCGAGAATGTTTAATTTTGCTCAGAATTCATGTTTTGGAGGTTGTAAATGAATGAGTGTATGTTTATAAGCATCATGACACAAAATTCAACTCATTTTGACTTAATTCGACTAACTTAGGGCGATATTAAAAAATCTCGCCAATGGGCGAAAAATATGTTGGCCCATGGGCGAGAATGTTTAATTTCGCTCAGAATTCATGGTTTGGAGGTTGTAAATGAATGAGTGTATGTTTATAAGCATCATGACACAAATTTCAGCTCATTTTGACTTAATTCGCCTTAGCTAGAACGATATTAGAAGACAAAAGACAAAATGGATACTCGTGCTGTCATACTTTTGAGTGAGTGAAAAACTCTCGCCCATCAAATTATATATTCTGTGAGACATGAAATGAAAAATAGTGAAAGAAAATATTCCCCGATAAACGTAAGCTCTACCCATTTTAGGTACAATGTGCATGTTATAGAATAGTAGGGAATAGGTTAAGACGTTTTGAACATTTGACCATCAAATTCTCCGAACAATTGTAACAGTCGTATGGTTTCCATACCTTGTCCCAGTCTGTATCACAGTCACAGACCGATATTATTTGCCCTTCTGTCCAGCCCTTACTGTAATATGTATACTGCAATACTGTATATGTTGCACATATACTACACAACTCATTATGCACGTAGTCAATGCTATGCTAAGCAACGTCCACTCGTATTCAAGATTACACCTGGTTAGAGATGCAAACAAATGTGTATTCGTATGTGCATTTTAATGAAATGAGGAACCAAGCAAGCAAAATCATAGTATGCATAAAAATCAAGTTGGTACACTGGGACTCGTTATCATCGGCGGAAGCTCACAGTTTACTTGTATGGACGATCTATTATAAGTACGTGTTGTCTGTCTGTAGTAGACAGAACCGTTACATAGCATGTAGAGCACGGATACACTGCTCGTGCATCCCACACACTCACGTGCACGTGCTTCACAACATTCGCAGCGCGTTCACCGTTAACATCTGGCGGTGCGTGTCACTGACTGAAGACGTGAAGGGAGGCATTGACAACTTCATGAGCGCATATTATCATATTTATCTAAATCATATAAATTGTTCATTTACATCACATGTGAATCTCTGCAAAAGCGCAATGTTACTGTAAACAACACAGTTTTATGCACAGTTATACTGATGTTAACATATGTAAAGCATGGAGTCATGATGACTATCGACAGTAACTGTTCATGAGATCGTGCAAGGGC